AGAGCGTGTGGGCGGGGAAGCAGAGGGGAGTGCTAACTAGGAGTGAGAAAGTATGTATGTGTGTGATGCTGATTTAATGATTATTTTCAGTTTGTTGACTTTTCTGGGTGAATATCTGTAAAGGTCAGGAAATCAAGCCTAGTATTGAGTTTTGAAACTGCTTGTTTTATTTAAACAGTGTAGGACGGAGAGATTCGTCAATTTTCAGTGATATAAAATGAAGGAAATCTACTGGGGAAAAAAAGGCATTTGATTGGTCCTAAATTCATTCTGCAGCAGTGCAACAACCCCAAACATGCAGCCAGAGTCATAAAGAACTATCTACAGTGACAAGAACAGATGGTAGAGCCCGCAGCCCTGGTGTCAACATTATGGAGTCTGTCTAGGATTACATGAAGAGACAGAAGACACCGAGAAAGCCTAAGGTCACAGGAGAACTGTGGCACCTTCTCTGACATGCTTCCAACAGCCTACCTGCCAAGCAAAACCTGTGCATGGGCATCCAGAGGACCGGTGCTTTTCTCAGGGCAAAGGGTGGTCACATTAAATATTCATTTGGTTTGCATTCTGTAAGAAAAGGCAACTTTATGGCATTATTTCAAAGGTATCCAAACCTTTTCTTTTTTTAAATTCTGTATTTCATGCAGTAAGCAGCTCTCAAAGGTGCAGGCAGGAAGTAGAATTAAACAACATAAGGCTCGGGGGCCAGAATTGACCCTGAAAACACTCCAGTATGGCCCATGGGATGGCTTTGGAAAATGTTAAGGGCACAAATTTTGGACTTGTAACTGTATTTTCATTTGTTTTTTAAGCTTTTTTTTTTTTTTTTTTACTGATAAAGACCTCCTTAAAACATTCATACTACATCTAAGTAAGTAATAGATAAACAATTAAATGACAGAAAGAGTATTACTTTATTATCTGCTATAGAAATTTTTATTTTTTACATTGCACTTTTTTCTCTAATATTAGGATATATCGGGGATTTAACCTCTAATGAGACCACAAATATGAGTTTGACATCCCCGCTTTAAATGTTGACACTTTTAAGGAAGAAAGTATTAATAACAGTGGTTTAGCACCTCATCATAACAAGATGATTCCTGGTCCGAACCACCTGAAGGCTGGTGCCGTCTGTGTGGGGATGTTCTTCCTGTGCTTGCATGGACTTGCTCCCACAGTCTAAAGACATACATATTAGATTACCAGCCAGTAGGTGTGAATGTGAGTGTGAATGGTTGTCTGTCTCTCTGTGCTGGCCTTCCAAAAGACTGATGACCGATGGATGAATGGATGGATTGCAATGTGCAAGTAGTATTTTTTCTTTCTCTTCATCAAGTCAGACTTGATTTTCCCTCTGTTACTGCAGTCTGCCCATACCTTATTGAGAAAATTCACATTGTGTGAAGTCCCACTACCTCATTTAGCATACAGTGAAATTGTTAAATGCAGCAAGATTGCCATTACCGTGAAGTACAAGCTGCAGGGGGATCGTGACAAAATGTGATATCTTGTCAGCGGTTCAAGAAAGGTAAGAAACTGAATTCATGGACCAGAATATGAAGATTAAGACCTGGTTCAGCCTTAGATGTACAGTATTTTACTTTTACATTAAGCTCACTAAAACAACAGTATAATGGCAACCAAACGGCTGACAGTATTATGCTGTAATGCTCATATTCTATCCAGCACTGCACTATAAGATTTTTTTTGCAGTAAGAAACTCTCTAGATTGCTGTAGGTCCACTGTATAATCACAGTTTCATGCTAGCTAATCTGGCTGACAGTACTTTACTGTAATTTTACAGGGAAATTTGTTACAGTGTATCACTCAGCCCCATCTCCTCTTCTTTTGGTCTCCACTACCTCTGCAACAGCCTTCTTAAATTAATGTTAAGCTAAGAGTTCAAGCTGCTCTAAATCACAGTCTCAGCCTTCAGTGAAGGTGGTGAGCCAAGGGTAAATGAAGTCAGCGTTACTGCTTTCTTATTCGGCGCGTAAGGAAGACGCCTGGGGTTTGTGCAAGTGACATGCAATCAGTTGGTGGCTACGCTGCTTATGTAGCTAATGTCAGCAATCCACAGCAAAAATGCTCTGTCAAATTTCAGGAAAACCATTTTAAATATGAGCTTTCTTTGGCTTGAAATAGACCAGAATTTGAACCTTTGTTCCTTGTGAGAGGACATTTGCAACAACTGCATGTGGAACCTCACAGGTCCTCCAACATGACATGTGTATGTATGTGTACAAGTGTCTTACAAGTAGATGTGAATACATGAGTGAGGATTTTTTTTTTTTATGATGTCAAAAAGTAAAAAGGTAGACGAACAGTGGGGTCGCTGTGTCCTTACTGTAAGGGTGTAGGAAGGAGAAGGATGAGTGTGTGTTGTGGTTTGTCAGAGCCGGTGCCCTGTCGCGCGCACACCAGGGAGGGAAAAAAGATAGGTGTGGGCGGGTAAGTCGGGGACTAGGTGATGGAGTGTGTGAGGCAGCAGAGGAGGGGGAGCGGAGTGATGGAGTGCTGGGTGGAGGGAGGGCGGAGGGTGATGAGTGTGTGCTCACAGTGTAAGTGACACCTCTCCTCCTCAGACAGATTGTCTCTCTCTCCCTGTAATGGGGACCCCGTTAGAGAACCTTTTCCCTCCATCTACCCCCCTTCTGCACACACACTTTGTCACCATTCCCATGTCTCTCTCTCTCACACACTCTGTAACAATTTTTCTTCTGTATTTATTTTCTTCTATCTGCCCAGATATGTCCACAAATTGGCTACATTTCTGTGCATTTCAATTCCCCCCATTCTCTGCATAATTTTTAATCAATCTGCACCTCGTTCTGAGACCGCTGATTGTCAAGCAGTTTACGCTGGTTTACAGCTCAGAGAGCGAGAAGAAAAGCGAAGGAAAAATAGCAAACGAGAGATCAGAAAGGAAGGAGAGGGAGGATATCAATATTCCCACTGCCGGTGGGATCCTCACAATGATTTTCTTCTCAGCTCCTGTTTGAATCTGACAGCGAAAATTCTGCATAGCTAGAGAGCCCATTTATCCCCTGTCCAACATAGTTCCCCGTGCCAATCACACTGAGATGAATTATATCCGTACTTGCTTTTAAGGACACTCAGATACTCACAGAGGATCTGAGGATACACAGGCTCAAAGAACCACTTGTACTTCCACGCACAAGTCCACACACACACACCTGCCATTACCTCAAACAGGTATTTTGAACTAGACCCAAACGTGTTCGTTTTCTGAAATTTAATCAACAGCAGGTGTATGTCAGGGTGCGTGTGTGAGACAGTGGATGTATGTGATTGCTTGTGTGTGCCCGTGCCCTCACTAACAATCATCTCAGCAAACCAGATCAGAGGCTATCTCTTCGCTTCAGAGGCGCCGCGCTGGCGGGAGAGCGACGCGCAATCACAAAGACACCTCAGACAAATAGGCTTCATAACTTCTCTGTAACAAACAATCACTGGGGCCTGAGCCCCTATCCCAAATGAAATCTCTCGCACCTGTGTAGATGCAAGGATACAAAGGAATTTTTAATGCTCCCCCGAGTCAGGTACGAGTCTCCATGGTGATAGCAGAGTCGCTATGGTGATAAAGAGATGGCGTTCAAAACAATGGAAGCATTTTTATGAAAAATGTGAGGGAGGGGGGGTCTTATCATGAAAATATATTCTTTATAGAGCCATACAGCCCAAACCATTTGTACTCCTAATGAACATATGCGCACAAAAGCAAGTTTCATACACTTTACAGGGTCTGAAACTATGCCAACCAGCATGTTTGCAACATTGTAACACAATATACAACCTGCCAGGTACCCACCAACACACTTCCCACTGTTTTTGCTAACACTGCAGTACCATATGAGCTAGATAAAATGGTCATAGCAACTACTCAGTGTAGCACGAGTCTGCATGCACATAGCAACACTACACTGTAACAAATGTACTTTTTAAAATAGAATAAATGAAGACAATTTTTACAGTGTGCCCACTGTAATTATTCGTGTACTGTAAAAAATCTTTCTGTGCTGTACAGAATTGAAGATTTATTGTATAATAATTGTTCCATTGCTATCACACTTGTTGACATAGTTTGGCTTATACAACTATTTAAAGCTACCTAAAACCTTGGAAGCAGACCATTTACATTTCTGTGAGTCCCAAGTAAAATTGCTGGATTAAACCAAAAGGGCTTCAGTTTGCTGTTAATACAGATTTTTTTACTTAAAGTAGGGTAAAGTATTTAGCTTTATTCACCAAAAAAACACTACATTGCAATACAAAATATTCTGTATTTTTACTTTTAAGTCTCACCAACACAGTATTCAAACTCTACAGATATACATCATCCATTCTTAGCATGTCAACATTATCCAAACATCAACTCCAGAAATGTCAAACCAACATCCAAACAAGTAGTTACCTCGGTGTTGAAGCTGTGAAGAAGCCTTTCAACTTTTTTTGAGCATCCGGAGTCTCATTGGCAATGCTGTAACATCAACGCCTCATGAATGTCTTTTCCAACTTCACACAAAACCCACCATCTAAGCATCCACCCACAACATCCTTCAAAATATCGCTTCAAAAAATCCAAACGTCACAACATGTAAGGTAACCAGAATATTATTCACTCTAAATTATTCTTAGATGCTTTAGGATGTGACCGTTCTCTAGCCTGCGCGAGCTCTTATCTGTTGGAAGAATTCATTATTTTCCATCTCTCGGCTTTAGATATGTAATTTAGCAGTCATTTGTGGAAAATTTAGTGTGAGAAATAGACCAAATGAAGGCACGTTAAAAAAAAAGGCTTTTGGATCTGATGTTTGTAACAGTTACATTTGCATAATTTCTCGCTTTTAAAAAATGTCTCTATTGCTCATTTCAAAATATGTAAATGCATAAACCTTAGATGATTATACTACGCAGAAAAACCCTTTCATTTTACACAACTGTAAAGCTTACCTCGTTCTTCTCTCCTCCACAGGCCGTAGACTATGAGAGTCGGAGCTCCTATTCCTTCTCTGTTGAGGTCCTTAACCCGATAGTGGACCCCCGCTTCCTACGTCGAGGCCCCTTTAAAGATCGGGCTTCAATCCGAGTTGCAGTCCTGGATGCGGACGAGCCACCGAGGTTCTCTCGGGCCAGATATCACATGGATGTTTCAGAGAACTGCCCGCCGGCCTGCACAGTGGGCCGAGTCAGTGCAGTAGACCCCGATACTGGTCTGACCAATAATATCAGGTAGAGTACAAAGCCTCTGCATTTCAGCAGGACATGTAGTCTTCCTATACATTTAGGTTGTTACTTTTCACTGTTGAGATAGCAAACAGCCTACCTGGGCTCCTTTTGAACAGGTTTTTTTTTATTTATTTTTTTTAAAAGCTAGTCTTTCCAGTTTTCATGCTGAGATAGTAGCTGTAACTTAATCTTTGGTGTAAAACATGACACTGGTATCAGTTTTATCATCTGCCACCCAGGAAGAAAGCAAATAAGCCCATTTCTCAAAATGTTCCTCTCAGTATTTGCTGTTTATGAACTCATAACAAAACAGCTTTACAGGAGTTTTATTGCTGAAAGACAAATCAAGCATTTAATGGTGCTGGGACTTATATATATCTTCATTTGTTTTACTGTCCAGCCACAAGCAAGGGATAGCCAGGCTTTTTGAATTAAATTCAAAGCAGGCTCTTCAGCTAAAAGAAACAAGACACAACAATAAGAGCTAACCAAATAAAAATAAGCCAACCAAATGCCCACACAGTGTTCCCACGAGCCAGACAGAAACCACAGACGCTTGCAGCTTCCAGTGCTTCGCTTGTGTTTGCGGTGGGTTTTGTCTCAAATAGTATGAGGAGGGAAGCAAGCGATTTGTCTGTAAAAACCACAGAAAACCGTGTCCCAATTAAAAGCAGAAGTGCTAAAAGCGAGTATGTGGGGAGGAATGATAGCTGGTATATTCATGGAGATATTTAGATAATCGGTAGCACTTCAAAAGAACTCTTATCAGCTGTGATAATCTCACTATATTAATTCTTTGGCCATTTGAATGCCGACTTCCTTATCGCTCCCTCACACACTTGCCCTGTCTGCTTCTTTCGCTCCGCACCCCACTGCCTTCCCCGCTTGCATCTTCCTTTCACTCATTCTTTCGATATTTCTCCCTGCCCTCTCCTCATTTCACCCGTCTATATCCTCAAACCCAACTTTCTCTTCTTCAGGTTCTCCATTGATCCTCAGTCAGACCCAGAGGCTCTGTTTCGTATCACACCAGAGACCGGTCTCATCACCACAGCGATGGAGCTGGACCGGGAGCGTGAGCACTGGCACAACATTACAGTCATCGCCACCCAGAGAGGTCAGAGGTCACTCTTCTTACAACACTTAATCCGGAGACATCGTTAGAAGTCGTTCATTGGATTATTTATTTTATTAGAGCTAACCCTTGACAACGAAGCTAGCATTTTCCCCACCTCTGACACCTTAACCGCTGATGAGTAAGAGGTTTAAGAGACTAGAAACTGTGTTTTCTACGCTATCTGAAAGGCACAGTATCCACTGTATGATGCAGTTTACTAAGCGGCTTAGCTCTCAAGTCATCAAACCATGAGAGAAATGCTGTTTGGCGCCATGAACAGTTTGTTACAGCGCGTCAGAGAATCAATTGATCCGTATTGTGCAAGTTATCTGATGCCGCAATAGATCTGTTCTCGTAAGGATTCAACTGGAAACACTGAATTAAAGCAACAAATCGAACTCAGGCCTTGATTTGCCGACAGAACATGATAGCACAGGGGATCGGTAAATATCTTTCTGTTTCCAAGTATGTAGGATGTCAAGCAACAAGACAGTTAAGTTCAAGTTATACATGTTCCCTCAGTAAAAAAATGATAAATAGAAAATGCCAGGGGCAAGATCATCAGTAGGTTCCACTAGTAGCTGCTCTCAAGCTTTCAGTCATGATTAAGGTTATCTAACTGTCTCTTGTCATTTGTGCAATTTAATTAATAATGAATTTTGATTTAATGAGTATATATTTAATGTGCTGTTGATTCTTTCATAAATGTATTCACATCGGCAGAAGTAAAGCCAATTATAGTCCAGTAGGCCCAATTACAGCTCAGCCCCTACATCCTCTAATAACACACTTTAAGTCTCGTTGCTTGCTCACGTGGAGGCTTGGCAACAATAACAGATGTTCCAGAACATCTAGCTTAAAATTGCTGTCAGATATAAATGTGTTAAAGATACGTGTTCATCCATCAGGTAGCAGGATACCAGCCACTTCAGTAGGTACACCAGCTCCAACACTTATTAATCACCCAATCATATGACAGCAGTGCATTCAGACATGGAGATATCAAGAAAACCTGCTGAAATTCAAACTGAGACACTGGCAAGAAAAAGGTGGTTTAAGTAAATTTGAATGTGACATGGTTGTTGGTCTAGACTGAGCTTTTCAGAAACTCAGACTTTGCTATACAACCTTCTCTAGTGAGAACAGCTTTATTAGAAAAAGAGAAAATATCCAGCGAGTAGCAGTTTTCGTGGAGAATATGCCTTGTTGACATCAGAGGTCTGAGGAGAATGGCAGACTTTGGTTGTAACCACTCACTACGACCAAAGTACACAGAAGAACATTTCTGAATGCATAACAGGTCAAACCTTGAAGCAGATGGGCTTCAGCAGCAGACGATCACACAGGCCTCCACTCCTGTCAGCAAAGAACAGGAAACTGTAGCTGCAATTCACACAGGCTCAACAAATCCATCCTACCTTTTATCAACTGTAAGCAGGTGTGGAGGTTATTTTCTTTACACTCTACGCTTTAGATCACTCAACTGAGCATCGTTTAAATGCCACAGCTAACTGAGTATTGTTACTGACCTCTCCATCCCTTTATGGAGGGAGACTCAAACATACTCAAACAGGAGTAAATAGGAATGCATTAGCTGGCTTTTATTGTGTATGTATTAATATACATGCAGTATAGTATTTATCACTGTGTGTATGTGACAGCCTTCACTGCCATGACGGAACATATCATCCAGTTCCAAACTTGCAGTTAATTTATTATTTTTTTATTCTTATTTTAGTACAAGGATACATCGTTAAAGAATATGTTATTTTTTCATTCAATTTCTTGACAAGAAAAATAGTAAATAACACCACATCAGCTTTTCTTAAAATGCCCTTCAGCCAGGTTAGTTAATGGATGGCACAGCCTTCGCAGCTTATTTAAATGTAAATAATTTATTTTAAAGCTTACTTAAGCTTTCGGCTTCACAAACTATGACCCTGAGAAATATGTCTATTAGAAGCACCAAATGAAGTAGTGTTGTGACATTTTCTGATTTTAATGTATATGACAAACTCTACAATAAAGTTATTTTATTGTAACCCAAATATTTATCAGTTTTAAATGAATCCAGACATTAACCTTAAACATAATATTGATGAGAAGAATGAATTTCCATTTGAGGGTATAATTCAATAAACTTTGTAACACATTATTGTAACTGGAACATATCCATTTTACAGTAAATTTGGCTTGTCAAATCATATAATCACATTGATACTGTAATCATCACAATATATTTAATAATCTAGAATAAATTAAATCATATTGTTGTGAAATGAAAACAATATGATGCTTTTATAAAGTGTTATAGATGCATAAATGTAAAAAAAAAAAGGGTATTTTTGGTTAGTGTTCAGCTGTTAGGCAACATGATAACATAATAAATGATATAGAGAAGAACCTTTATGGGTTTAAGTTGTATCTGTATGCCAACTTTGGTTGTTCAACTTCTGTTCACATTTGCAGACAAACCAAGACATTGAGATTTTGTGTATTATAGTAAAATTCTACTTTTAATTAAGTATTTTAATATAGCTACCTAATTTAAACAAATTCACTCATTTTTTTTCATCTATTAATCTATAAATGCTTTTTTCATCTATTAATTACTGTAGAGAGGGCGACTTCATACTTCTTTAACTCAGAGTATCACTCTGAACACATATCTTTATTTACGCAGCCCATTGCACTCTTGGTGTCACAGCTCCCAAAAAGAGCAAGCTGAGCACAATATTGCATGTTGTGGGGATGCACTTGCGAAGATATTTTGTTAGTGGGAAAAAACAACACAACGTCTTGTGTTTTGGACAAACCAAATGCATTAAGGACTGGATAATTTAATGTAATTATGCAAGCATTTCTTTCTTTTCTTTGATGTCACTGATTTGACTTTTTCTCTCTCTACATTTATGTATTTTTAGAAGTCAGTGACAACCTGTTTTCTTGTTCAGTTTGCTGGACGGACGTATTACAATTAATACCAGCATCCTGTTAAATCCTGGCTTTGCTCCAGTAGCTGTGTCTGGCAGATGACAAGTCATAAAAGCACTCAAAAATAATCCAACTGGTTTGTTTATAAGTAGAAGTATTGTTGGAGATTTCCATCCAATGTCTGCTGTGCTCAAGGAAAAAGAAGTTGTTTTGCTGCCAAGTTTTGTTCTGGACAAACTTAATCTTTACTTAAAATCTACTCAGGGTTCCTTGTGGCAGCAATGTGTTGGTAGGACTGTGGCGGCAGCACACTGAGTGCCTGTCTTGAATAATGAGCTCTATCTAATAAACAGACTGTTGGAGACTGTGTTGACATAAAGCACAGTAGGAGCCCTGCCATGGCCACAGGCAGGCCAGCTCACCCTGTGGCATTACAGCAAGAGCTCATTTTCAGCTTTTCAGCGATGGGAACCAGTTGCTGTCATCCATGACACAGTGTTACTGCTGTTGGTTTAAAAAAACATGGTGTGGGAATGTTGTGAGTGTGTGTGTGTGTGTGTGTGTGTGTGTGTGTGTGTGTGTGTGTGTGTGTGTGTGGGGCTCGGTTTACAGAAAGTGTAGTCCAATGTGTTTCACGGTTGCCTGCCTAGATAAAGGATGTGTGCTGGTGAGCCTGGGTTGTGTCATAGCTGCCTAAAATGTAATGATGAGTGTTCAGAATGCTAACTTCATGTGTTTCGAGCGCGGCTTGTGAGAACTTCATGTTCAAGTGTGCGTATAGCCGAGTGAATGGGGTGTAGGGGACCTTATGCCAATCCATTTAAACTGCGCTCTTGTGTAACTGCATGCAGATTCGCTGCCTTCTGCACCCCTCTTCTGCCTTTTCTCTCTCTTTATTGAGAAAACACAAACACACACACACACACACAGGAAAATTTTAACTGATATGGAAGCATCAGTCATACTCCAGCTGGGAGCCTGCGAGCTGTAACACAAGCCAAATGAAACCAAATGCACTGCTGTTTATTTAGCCAATTGTACGCTCACTAATGTGATGTAATGTGAAGTTTTTGGACAAAGTCTTGAAATACTTGATTATGCCTATGAGGACGACTGCATGGGATTAATGGACCGATGACTTGCACCACTGTATTTGTATTGTACTCAATAGTGTCTTTTGCCGTTTTAACATTGTCTTCATATTATTTAGTTTATACAGCTGTGTGCGCGTGTTTTTGGAGGCTACGTTCTAATATGCTTTTCTCTGGCTCTTTCAGACAATCCCAGCCAAGTCTCCAGAGTTCTAGTTGCAATAGAGACCTTAGATCTGAATGACAATGCACCTGAGCTGGACAGGCAGTACAACACAGCCATGTGTGACTCCTCCTCCATCGGACAGGTCAGTATGTGTTTAAACTACTTGAGGTCTTTATTTCCATTCCAGTGTATATAAAATGTTCATTTTAAAGACATGGAAAGACACTAAAACACATGTTAAGGAAACAAGCCCGGGTTATTACTAGAGATGGACCGATCCGATATTACGTATCGGTATCGGTCCGATACTGACCTAAATTACTGGATCGGATATCGGAGAAAAATAAAAAATGTAATCCGATCCATTAAATATCACGAAAGCACCTCACAAAACTTGCAACACACCGTAACTCACCTCAGAACATTAGCAGTCGGAGCAGTATGCGTCACGTGATAGAGCGGCTGTGGCATGCGGGACCTGTCGGTGGTCTGGATAGCATTTGGAGCTTCGCTAGCAACCTGGCATTTCATCTCCGACAAAGTTATCCCCGAGAGAAGTAAAGCACGTGTGTAAGTCCATCTCTGAATGTTTGTAAAGCATTCCCACGTTAAGCTTAACGAGCGACTGCCTCTCGCTCTCCGGCTGCTACTTCAATCGTGAAACTGCTTAAATGATCAGCTGATCGGCTTTTCTGTCGCGAGTCTGTCTCTCTTGTTTGTTTTTGGTCCACTTTGCACCAGAAAGAGGAAACCAGCGGCTGAACAACAGCAGCACGTTTAAGCTTGATAAGCTGTTGTTACAATTTATTTATTATTACTTTCTACTCCAGGATCTTTTTCTACGTAGCTGACGGCTGGTAACTGTGCAGGGGCGGATCTAGCAAAGTTTAGCCAGGGGGGCCGATAGGGCATTAACTGGGAAAAGGGGGCACAAAGACATACTTTTCTTTCTTATTCTCATTTAAAATGTCGAGCTTTTAATAAATAATTATCTGACACCCAAAGTTTTAATTTGATGTAAAATGAATAGAAGTCAATTACTGTATATAGTGACTATTAAGTCTAATATATACACCCTAGTAAGCTATAGTACTTTTTCCTTTGGGAAGGTACCATCTGTGCAGTCTGCAATTTTGTTGAAGAAAGATGTTGAATCTATTTAATATTTCTTGAAAAAGAATTGATTTCTGTGCATTTTTTTTTCACACTGCATCAAATTAAGGTTGATTACGTCGATTAAGCATCATGAGGTGGAGCGTGAGGGGTGGTTCCCTATTTTTTATTTATTTATTTTTGTTGTTGCTGGGAGTTGGAACCCTATTAGTTAGGTTGCTTAATATTTACGCTAAGTACTCTTTAAAATACCAGAATAGGGAGGATGGTGTAGGTCTAAGTTTATTAGATTGATCAGTATTGCTGAACTATGAAATATTTTTTTTGTATACAGGTATAACAGAATAGCTTTAGTGTAGTTGTTGTTTTAAACTTGAGTATGAACTTGCAGACTTGCAAAATGCAGCAAGATATTTTAAAAAACAGTTTTGTTGATTAAAAAACACTATATCGGATTCATATCGGTATCGGCAGATATCCAAATTTATGATATCGGTATCGGTATCGGACATAAAAAAGTGGTATCGTGCCATCTCTAGTTATTACTGGAACTACATTCTGGCACTACACATTTCTCAGTTTAGGTACTTGGACTGCCAGCAGTGCTAAAGACTGTAATTTTTCAAGAAGATGTGAAAAGACTTTAAGTGATGACTACACAGCAGCAGCAGCAGCAGCAGCTGTGTTGTCTTTGTGTCTACATGTGTGGCACTCGTGGTTTTTCGAGGTGTCAGAGCCCAACACACAATCACTGCAGTTGCATGGGTAAAAGCTTACAAATAGAGTGGCAGGGGTATAACGCAATCAGAATGTAAAAGCCAGAGTAGACATCTGGACTGACTGAAAAAGAAGCTGTTCTGTCAGACATGCAAAATGCATGACTGAAAACGCTTTTTAGACACACTGCTAATACTATAGTCTCACATGTTTCAGTCAAATTTGACATATCGTTGGTTTGAATAAAGTCACATAACTGATCACATGGTTACAGTCACTAACCAGTGGCCATTGGTTTGTGGCCAAACTGCTAGCGTTATTAACCTTAAGAAGCTAACATTTTCAGCATATTCATTGTTTTCACCTTTTTATTTTATATTAAGATAAGATAAGATAAGACTGACTTTTTTATGTATACATATGAGCAGAAGCTTCAAAACCAGTTTTATCTGAAGCCTGAGAAGCTGTGGCTGGATGAACTTTAATCATCCAAAAATCAAACAATATTGATAATCAATGTAATAATTAATAATAATTGTAAAATAATAAATAATGCTTACTTTACATACATATTTTAGAAGTTACAGTTTTTAGGTTTGCATTTCAAAGCCCCAAATTTCATACCATAAACACAAAACCTGGTTAGTTAGCTTGCCATTAAATAACTATCTTGACAATGTGTCACTTAGCTCGATTGCTACACTATTTCAGTAAATGTTAACGTTACCTTGCGCTCTTCTTTATATTGGCTGAAGCCTTCCTTGAGCCATACAGCCCACCACACGCCACATTTTGCACTAATTATACACATATTCATAATAAATTAGTGTTACTATGTCATATGCAAAACATATGCAAACTTTGTATTTAATGTTCATGTACAGTCATATAATTACAACACAAACAGTCAACGAGTATTCAGCTTGGAGCATATAGAGTGTGGCAGAACAAAGCTGTGTCCCTTCAGATATGGCCACATGCAGCTACAGCATACTCATTCACCATGGAGCCAGGTGAATCCTCCATGGCCTGTTATCAGAACGCAGCAGTTATTTGCATTGTAATTAAACTCGAGCCTCCTCTCAGGCTGCCTCCCTCCTTCCTGCTTTATTTGTGTTCTTGTCTGTTTCTCTGCATCATGTTTTTCTCACTCGATCCTATCTCAATTATAGAAATCATCCCTTTGCTCTTCAGCCTCCCCTTGGAAACCCTGCTTAGCTCTCCTTTCTTTGCCTCCATATTCCGTTTTCCATGCTGGCTCTGTCACTATCATTTTGGTGTCGTGGCCCATCTGTTGTGTGTGGGTTTTTTTTTTTTTTTTTTTCCACTGGTGCTTTCATTGCTCTGCTCATGCCTTTGTTGTGTCACCACGAAATCTGTGATTCTATGGCAACGACGTTGATTTGTTTTTGCCTGTGATGTTCATGTTTGTGCATGCTGCAATTTGAGTGAGCGGCACGCAGTTCATTAAAGAAAGGCTATGATGTCTTCCCAGTGTGTTTGGGATAGTATATGCACATCTCTGTATGACACGCCATTAGGCAAAGCCTGTTTGAATATTCACCCACAGCATCGGATAACATAATGCAACTGTTCTTAGCAAATCTTCTCAAGGCCTACAGACATCGACTAACTCAAAGAGCACGCTGCACCCTTCATCCCCGCATTGAGTCTCGTATCGAGCACTCGAAAGCGTTCCTGAAAGAGCGCCCTGCATAATGACGAACAGAGAGTTTCATTAAAAAGAAATTACCCATCAGCTCAGTCTGCGGGAGATTTCTTTAAGATTAATTTAGTTAAGATTGCCAATGAGGACTTGCGTAGATGCCTTTACAACACCGAAAGCTGCACGGCACTGTATTTACAAAAAAGGGGATTCGCACACACACACACACACACACACACACACACACACACGGTTATATTTTTGGTGTGAGTATCAAACACAGTTCACTTATGTCACTATGCTAATTGTTTGACTTGTTTTCATTCTGCCAGTGTCGGCTAATGTTTTTTTGTTTATGTAGCTAAAAGCTCTCTCTGTGTAAGTGTTTTTTCTTCCTCCTTTTCTGTTCTCTCTCTATGCTTTTCCTCAAAACACACAAACACACACGCACTCACACACATTCATTCACGCCCTCTTGCTCTCTATCTCTGTGTTTCAGGTGGTGCAGGTGTTGCGGGCGATTGATAGAGATGAGGGTGGGAATGACAGCACCGTGTATTTCAGCATCCCTCCAGAGTCCAGCACTACCCTCAACTTCAGCGTCAGGGACAGCGGTGGTAGGCACTCAATCTTTCCTTCTCTGTGTAGTTCTCTTAATTCTTGTTTGTCTGCTCCTCCCTTGGCAGATAGACTGTTTCTCCCCCCACTTTTCTAAGGCCCTTAATCCCACATATATTTTTTTTTCTGCCTTTCTCTTCCCATCTTCATCTTTCCTTCTATTCTCTCTTTCCCGTTCCTCTCAAAACCACTCCCTCTCTGAGTCGCCTTCCCTTTTTCTGTCCCTCCCTCTGTCTCCTACCATCCATCTCCCATGTCTGGTGGCCCCATTGTTTTGCTTTGTTATTGTCATGCGGCGGCTGTGTGAAGGCAAGAGAGGAACCAAATGCACGGCTCTAGACACACGGGGATGAACTCAAAGGCCGGTCTTTATTAACAGGAACATAAGAAGTCATATAAAACTATACTGGGAGCAACTAAAAGCTGAGGCGCTGGGAAGACACGGAAAATGCACACAACCTAGAGGGACGACGCAACACAGAACAAAGGGACACTCTGACATAAATACACAGAAGGTAACGAGGGGAGTGGGAACACACGGGGAACACAGCTGAAGACAATTACTCATGGCCGAGCAGGGAGGACACGAAACTGACGATACTGACACCAAGATGTGGACCTTAAACACAACACAGTACACAGAGATGAGCACGGAGAGAGAGAGGCAGAGAGAGGCAGAGAAGAAGGATGAATACGAGGGGATGAGGAGAACACAGAACACATAGGGTGGGAACACGGTACCAGAGCAAACACCACAATAAAAACATGGACACAGAGGGAATCCAAATACCAAACCAAACAATCCAATGGACATAAGAAACAAAATACAAAACTACAGAAAAACTAAGAACACTGGGTCAAAATGACCCAGGACCATGACAGTACCCCCCCCCTCAAGGGCTGGCTCCAGACAGCCCAAACACAGGAAAACAAAACCCAAACAGGAAACGACCCAGGCGGGCGGCGGGGGCCTAGGACGGAGGGCTCGGAACAAAAAACAAAAATGAACAACAGAAAACACAGGAGCACAAGACCAAAGGTCAAAGAAAGTTCAGGGGACCGACCATGCGGAAGGCAACAGCGGAGACATGGAACCAGTTCAGGGGGCCGACCATGCGGAAGGCAACGGCGGCGATGCGGAAACAGTTCAGGAGGCCGGCCGTGCGCAAGGCAACGGCGGCGACGTGGAAACAGTTCAGGAGGCCGGCCGTGCGCAAGGCAACGGCGGCGGCGAAGGAGACAACGGAGCAGTTCAGGAGGCCGACCGCGCGGAAGGCAGCGGCGGCGGCGAAGGAGACGACGGAGCAGTTCAGGGGGCCGACCGCGCGGAAGGCAGCGGCGGCGGCGAAGGAGACGACGGAGCAGTTCAGGGGGCCGACCGCGCGGAAGGCAGCGGCGGCCCTCCAGTCTCAGGCGTGCTGGCCATGGCCTGGTGGGCACAGGACCAGACGAGGCAGGACCAGACGAGGCAGGACCAGACGGTGGCGATGCGGGGGCCGGACCAGGCGAAGCACAGGCTGAGGCTGGAGCAGACGAGGACGAAGACTCGGAGGCTGGACCAGACGAGGACGAAGACTCGGAGGCCGGACCAGACGAGGACGAAGACTCGGAGGCTGGACCAGGCGGAGCTGCAGAGGCTGAGGCTGGACCAGGCGGAGCTGCAGAGGCTGAGATCGGACCAGGCGTAGCAGAAGCACAGGCAGAGGCTGGCCCAGGCGTAGCAGAAGCACAGGCAGAGGCTGGCCCAGGCGTAGCAGAAGCACAAGCAGAGGCTGGCCCAGGCGTAACAGAAGCACAGGCGGATGCAGCTGGACCAGGCGTTGACGAGGCGGTCGCAGGTGGCGGCTGGACAGGCTCCTCGGGCCCTCCAGCTGACGTGGCAGAAGGCTGAACGGGCTCCTCGGGCCCTCCAGCGGAGACAGGTGGCTGAACGGGCTCCTCGGGCCTCCAGCGGAGACAGGTGGCTGAACGGGCTCCTCGGGCCCTCCAGCGGAGACAGGTGGCTGAACGGGCCCCTCGGACCCTCCAGCAGAGACAGGTGGCTGAACGGGTTCCTCGGGCCCTCCAGCTGACGTGGCAGAAGGCTGAACGGGCTCCTCGGGCCCTCCAGCGGAGACAGGTGGCTGAACGGGCCCCTCGGACCCTCCAGCGGAGACAGGTGGCTGAACGGGGTCCTCGGGCCCTCCAGCGGAGACGAGGAGGTGCTGGCCGGGCTCACTGGAACCCCAGCGGACGAGGTAGATGGCGGCGTGGGAGCCGCGGAGTCCTGGATGAGCTCATCCGAGCTTCCAGCAGGAGCTGATGTAGAGCCAGAGAGGTTTGGGACCCCTGGCTGAATGTTAAGCCGAACAGAAGACCGTATTGCTATCGGGGACTGGGCCAATGGTTCAGGTGCGAGCTGAGCTACTGGAGATGCGGATGAGAGTGGGAGCTGAGCTACTGATGGTGGTGAAGTAGATAACTGCACGGGAGACTGAACTGAGGGCGTCTGCACTGGCACAGGGGACTGAACTGATGTCTGTTGTAACGGAGGTGGTGAGAGTGGAGTAGGCAGTGGAGTTGATGACTTCACAGGAGAATGAACCAGAGGTGAGTGCACAGGAGACTGAGCTAGAGGTGGTAGTGATAGTTGAGGGGAAAGTGGAGCTGGTGATTGAGTGGATGACTGTGCTAAAGGAGGCTGCACTGGGGACACTGGAGACTGCACTGGGGAAAGCAGAGCTGCAGGAGACTGCGCTAGAGACTGCAGTGATGGTTGTAGTGGAGGTGTGACGGGTGGAGGAGTGGCTGAAGTGGCTGCGGGTCGGGCGGCTAACGGCTCAGCTACAGAGTGTATTAATGGCAGGGTTATGGGTCGAATGACTGACTGAGGGGCATCCTGTGCAGCTGAGTGCAATGATGGGTGTGGGAGCGGATGTAGGACAGGTGGCAGTGTCAGTTCCCCTGGGCCTACAACGCAGTTGAAAGGTGCAGGCACCTGCTGGACACCAGTCGCTCCCACCTGAGGAGTAGGTACAGGTGCAGAGACTGGCTGGGTCCTGGCGGGCCCCACCTCAGCGGTTGGCACAGATTTCGGCAGGGACTGGGCGGCTGCTGTCCCCACCCGAGGAGCCGATACGGGTGCAGGGGCCAGCAGAGCCTCAGTTGACCCGGAAACCGGAACAGGGACCAGCTGGGCGCCAGCCCCCCTCACCTGGGGAATTGAGACAGGTGCAGGTGAGTGCTGGGCCGCAGTTATCCCTAGAACACAAGGGGCCTGGGAGGCGGGCCTAGAAAGAACAGTCTGCAAGAGATCGATTCCCTGCCCTGAGTGAGCGGATGAGGAACAGCGCTCTGACTTCGTAGCGTTAAGTGTACTAAAGCTGTAGCTTACAGGCACTAATGCATCACCTTCAGTGTGTACAGACTCTAGAGAAATGTGATCAGCTGATGCACCAACAGTCTTAGAGCTTCTTTCTTCGGAGCTAACCGTACTTATACTGACAGAGGAGGGGTTAATAGCCGATGTAAACATAGGTCTGTGCACCGGAGAGGCAGATGAAACAAAGTCTTTTACCACCGGATCGCCGGAAGCAGTAAACCTAGGGTAAACAGTGGTGGGTGTAGAGCCCCCTGACTCAAGAACATTTGAATCAGTACATACGTCAGAATGGACAATCCCCGGGGGTGATGGCTCAGAAGCAACGAGCTGGGGTCGAGCTATCACAGGAACATTTACAGTCTTGGATTTTACTGTTTTACCATCTAAGGGGGCAGGTAGTAAAGCCCCAGGGGTGAGCTTAACTGCAAAACAATCATCCTCAGCAGACACACAGGTAAAGGGCACAGAGACAGGTGTCTCTAACTCAGGAAATGCTGACTTCGAGTTTTTAGACCTAGGAAACACTAGCGAAGGATGATCTTTCTCGAATATGAGTCCAAACGTAGGAGAAACTGTCTCTGAGTTGACCCTCCGGGCAGTACAATGGTTCATAAGAAGTTCGGGTTCAGATTCAACGTTTACAGACCGTGAGCCTTTAGCGTCTACGGCAAGAGTCACAGAGTTTGCATTCCTGCATTCAGAGTAGTGAGAACTAGCCTCAGAGTGAACAGAGAAAGTGTCTTTGTCACTCACCCCAGCCGGCTGCCCAGTAGTCCCGGAATCCGACTGAGGAGAGGACCGGCGACGGCGTCTCCTCCTTAATGAGGGAACGGAGGTGACGGGGAAAACCGGTGATGATGCGGGGGTGACGGTCTCCTCTTCATCATCCGACCACATCGCTGCTAGGAGAGCAGCGGGAGAGCGACGGTCAGAGCTGAGAGGGGATGGAAAAGGGCTCTGCGGCAGCGGCGCCAAAAAACCCTCTCGTTTTAGCAGCTGCTGTTGCGACACCGAGAGCCCCGTCTGCTGCTGCGGTACCGTCGCGGCGAGCTTAGTTTGCTGCTGCTGCGGCGGCTGATGGGCGGAGATCTCCGTCTGCAGTCGCTGTGGCGTGGAATCCCGGGAACGGACATTGTCTGCCAGCTCACGGGCTTGTAATGCCTCCTTAGCTCGGCTCAATTCGTCGATAAAGCCTTCATAGCAGGTGAGCTGCTGAAGGAAAGGGTTTCCCTCGATTATTGCCTTTATGGCGTTAAGTCCGACGGAAATTGTCCGTGAGTCCGAGGCGTGGGTTATTCGTTGCACCAGACTCTGTACACGGAGAATATCTCCCTCACGGGCGGAGCCTGCTGGGTCCATTTCGTGGTTGCGTCGTTCTGTCATGCGGCGGCTGTGTGAAGGCAAGAGAGGACCCAAATGCACAGCTCTAGACACACGGGGATGAACTCAAAGGCCGGTCTTTATTAACAGGAACATAAGAAGTCATATAAAACTATACTGGGAGCAACTAAAAGCTGAGGCGCTGGGAAGACACGGAAAATGCACACAACCTAGAGGGACGACGCAACACAGAACAAAGGGACACTCTGACATAAATACACAGAAGGTAACGAGGGAGTGGGAACACACGGGGAACACAGCTGAAGACAATTACTCATGGCCGAGCAGGGAGGACACGAAACTGACGATACTGACACCAAGATGTGGACCTTAAACACAACACAGTACACAGAGATGAGCACGGAGAGAGAGAGGCAGAGAGAGAGGCAGAGAAGAAGGATGAATACGAGGGGATGAGGAGAACACAGAACACATAGGGTGGGAACACGGTACCAGAGCAAACACCACAATAAAAACATGGACACAGAGGGAATCCAAATACCAAACAATCCAATGGACATAAGAAACAAAATACAAAACTACAGAAAAACTAAGAACACTGGGTCAAAATGACCCAGGACCATGACAGTTATCCTCCCCTCTTTTGTTTCGTCCCTCTTGTTGTATCCTCTACATCCATCTTCTTCCCCACGACCATGTAAACTTAGTATTTCCACTGAGAAGCTTTTGAAGAAATCAAAGCTGCTTCGTTTAATTAGCGTCAACTGAATCTAATTTAGCTACTTGTTTGTTTTCTGTGCATTTTTCCCCCTGAACACTTCGTGTCCTCGCTCTTTGTTTTGCACAATTACACACGTATAGTCCTTTAATATCATGCAAACATAAATTTGATATGACTATTTTAATTCAGGGATGCAATGTGCTGCCGGTTCTGTGTAACTGTTCACATCAAGCTGTGTATGTGTGGGGATATTTTTGCATCCTTGAGCAAATATGTAGTCTCCTAAAATTGGATCCACAAGAATTTTGTTGTCTTAGCTCACATTTACATTTCTCTACACAAAAACAAGTTAATTGGCTCACAAATACATTTTTTTGCAATTATGTGTCACCTGTGGAGTTTTCGTGTAAACACATACTTTGAGTCAGTGCAAAAACACAGTGTTTGCTTCCTTGAAGCCTTAACGGCGTGCTGAATAAAAGATAAAACATTTGCAAAAGTGACATTTTTCAATATTTTGAAGAGTGCAGGCCTGATTACATCAGCTGGCATTCTTTTTTCTTTTCACGTCTTTGCTTCTGCATTGCTACATTTTTTTCCTTTGACACAATAACTGTTGTGGAACAGCATGAAGCTCTTCAGTTGGTATGTGCTGCACAGTTGCAGTTGAGGACAGTAATGCAAATCAAAACATTGCACCACTAGCGGATAAAAACTCCACAGAATACTTTCATGTGTGCTTATGCATTCTGCACACAGCTCATCTCTCTCCACTTGAAAGTTTGATTTGTGCGTCATATTAGCTAAAGATGTCAGTAGCATATTGAAGTGTATAATATAGTATTCCATGTGCATGCCTTGGACATATGAACATGTGTACTAGTTGTAGGTATACCTGTTCAAGTGCTCATTAACACACATGTATTCTGATCAGCCTCATGCTGATCAGAATACATGATCAGCATGATCATGTATTCTGATGATCATGCAACATTCAGTGTTGACATGAAATTCAAACCGAGTGTCAAAATGGGGAAAAAAGGTGATTTAAGTAACTTTGAATGCGGCAGAGAACTCTGATGTACTGAAATAATGCAACAAAATCTGAATCCCCCCACCTGAAAAAGAGAAAATAGTGAGGGTTGCTTTGTTGAGGCCTTAGAAGAAAGGCCAGACTCCTTCAAGATGATTGGAAAGCAACAGTAACTCCCAAGCACTTTTAAAACCAAGGTATGCAGAAGAGCGTCTCTGAATGCACAACACGGTCAGCCTTGAAGCAGATGGGCTACCACACCAACCCAGGTGCCTCTCCTGTCAGCTAAGAACAAGAAACTGAGACTACAGCTTTCACAGACTCTACAAAATTGGGCAATAAAAGATTAAAAAGAAAACTTTGCTTAGTGTGATGAGTCTCAAGTTCTGCTGCAAAATCCAGGTAGTCGGGTAAAAATTTGGCGTAAACAACATGAAAGTCACCAAATCTAAATCAAAAAGAGCACTTCTGGGATGCGATGGAACAGGAGATTCACATCGTGGGTGCAGCTGACAAATGTGCAGCAGCTGTTTGCTGCTGTCATTTTAATATGGAACAAAATCTCGGTGGAAATGCTTCCAGCACCTCGTTGAATCTATGCCATGAAGAATAAAGGCAGTTCTGGAGGGAAAGGTAGCATGATGTAACTAATCGAGTGGTCTGTGAGTGTAGCTTGGCAACAAATTTCTCAGCCTTGACTTCATCAGTAAACACAATATGGCAAATACGGGGAATTTGAAAACATCCAATTGAAAATCCAGCAAACACAGGATAACATTTACTCTCATTTTACGTCATAGTACTTTGTTTTGTTCTCCATTAATTCTGACCAAAAAAACTGCATTTTAGCTGCAAAATGCTTTGATTGTCTACTAAGTTAGCTGTATTAGCTAAAATATGCTAAATATAGAACTTAAGACAGGGGTGGGGGAACTTCAGCTTCCTAACACCACCTCCAGTCAGTGTATTTAGATTCCTTAGATGCGTCCTAACACGCATCTAAGAGTCCTGCAGGTCTTAGATGCGTCCTTGATCCAACACAGCTGATAAATCAGCTGTGTTGCTAAATTACCTCCTCAACATGTCTTGATATCACCCATACCAGAGGCCTGGTATGGGTGATATCTAAAACCTGCAGGACACTGGCCCTTGAGGCCTGGAGTTCCCCACCCCTGCCAGATGAAGATATGTGCTTACATTCGTCAGCAGCTGAAGATAAAATTACTCTTTGACTAATTTTACTACCAAACTGGTGACCAAACTCCCAACTCTTCCTAAACCAGACAAAACCAAGTTAACTCGCCAGATCATGGATGAGTATTATAAACTCAGTGACATGTGAAATCAAAGACCTCTTTGATGTGTCATCCAACAGTAGAACAGAGAGACAATAAGAGCATCCTCAGCTCCCGTGTGGACAGCTTGTCTGACAAAATGCTACATTACTTTCTTTGTTTAAAAAGACAATGATTTGATCTATCTTTTGGATCGCTGAAGATCTTTTTGATAATCGCGTTTGTCATGTTTTCATTCCCAGTGCCATTCATGCTAATGAAAACCTGCTTTCGTGTCAGCGGCTATATTTTTGTGGCCTTGTGTGTGTAATTCTAAAAACGTCTCCCACACAGATCCTCCGCAGTTCTTTTTCTCAAAAGTGAGAGTCAGATCAATACAGGCCGTTACCTCTTTTGTTATTGCTGCTCTCTGTCCTTTTAAATTGCTGTATGTGAGCCTCTCATCACTGATGTCCATTACAATATCTTTAAAAAAAAAAAAAAGGGCTTGTGATGTATTCCTTTCATACAAGTGTGTTCTAAAAGTCAGTGCTTTGGATGTACAGGCTTTCTTCTGTACATACTTTGTTGTGTCATTAACCAGGACAAGTGTGGGAGTCTTTGAAAAGGATCATACAGATGGATCTAATGGCACCACATTATTCAAACAATAATTTTAAACGTGAAAGTATATTAGAATTTATGTTTAAGTTTTACAGCCTATCTGGAGTCATAAATCATGAAGCGTCTGGCTGCGGCAGCGAAAAATATACTGTCTGCCCAATTTGTAACACTCTAGTAGATTCATCCTGTAAAATTAGTATCACTGTTATTCTGCTGTGGAACGCTGTAGCTCAAATTAGAAGGGAAGTGAACGAAAATAGTAAAAATAAAAGAGAGGCTAAATATTTTTTCCTGCTCAATTCCTTTGTGGTACAAACCCGTCACCAGCTGACTGCAGTCGCACATTTGCAAACATGAGGACATTCATTTCTGGGCATAATTTCCAAATTGGAACGTCCTGCCTCCATTCTGCAAACAACACTGTAGCATGCGGTTAACAGTGGACTCAAAGTTTCTTCCTATCTGTCAACTCTCCTTCAGGCCCCACAGCCAGCTTGGTGTTGCTGTCCCAGATCCAGCCACTGTCCCGTTCCTCATCCTCCACCTTGACCCTCTACGTGCCGCTCGTCCTGAGGGATGGGACGTCTGGCCTCACCAGCACTGGGACGGTCACTGTGTCCGTCTGTCCCTGCCTGAAAGGAGGGGCACGAGCTGGGGAGAAAGACAAGGACAAACAGACCGAGGGCGAATGGGACTGGGAGAAAGAAGCGGTGTGTCTTCCTCAGCAGTCCACACTGCCCTCCCCTGGGCTCAGTACAGCTGCCTTGCTGGCTATCCTGGCTTGTGTTGCTACATTACTGGGTAAATACTTAATAGCTCATAAAGCTTGAGAGAGATTAAATCTGGGCTTGGCTTAAGATAATGCCAAAAGCAAAAGTAAAATGGTGAAAGGCCCTTGTTTATATAACTTACATGATGGCTTTTATAACAGCACTTAGTGTTATGTACATTATGATATAATATGAAGTTATATCATAAATATTTACTCCCTAGAAATGCATTTAATGCCATTCTACAAATAGAAAGTTGAGTAAATAGCGTTTAGGGCTTGTGTACCTTCAACTACATCCCTGGATGCTTAATCTGCATATGAAAATAATGAAAGCAGCAGCGTAAATATTTCTCTTAGTCACAGCTGCTCGATACAGGTTTGCTTTTCCTCGCAATTTTGGTCCAGTTATTTCCCTTGGCAAGGTCAGCTCTAATCACAGCTAAAATAACAATTTTGAGTGATTATCTGGGCCCTTCGGTTTTTGATAGCAGCATAATAAAATGTCACAGCCACCTTTGCAGAAACTCAAATGCTCAATTGGATAATGCCTAGTTGCTGAGGAGACTGGCTGATAGCCAGCATCATTGTCATTTCTATTGAGTCTGGTGAAATCACTCGTGCCTTGTTGATAAAGGCATTATCATTCTGGAAGGGGCCAGTTCAATCAAGTGGGAGACGCGACATGGCGTGAAGGTGATCGTGCTCAGTGGATTTAGTGGAGTTAAGAATTTAGTTCGCTAAGTGATAATGGCATGATCGTGGGCGGGAGTATAATTCTGCTTTTTCTATTTCTAAACACTATAATAACAGGGCCTTCCACAGAATGCCAAACGTCCTTAAAGAACCTCTGTCATCACCTCCATCAGTTATTAAAAAGGAGCGGGGTTTACACGAGGTAGCCATTGAGCCATTTGGCAACTTTGCCCTGTGGATAGAGGCTGTCTTTAACAGATAAATATACACACACCACGCTATAAAGGTTATTCCTCAAACCGTTATAAAAGGTTAGAGTTTTCCCACTCCATTTAGGGATCATTGAATTAGTTCCATAGAAATCAAATAATGTGGCCTCCAACTATATTAAGGCTGTAGATTTACTTACCGCGGCAGCTTAACCTCCTGCGATACAGCCGTATGGAAACACAAACACATTAGTGTTTGTTAAATCAAATCATACACTGCAAATATAAATAAGCACCCGAGCAGATTCAGCACGGTTTGGATTTCTATAAATACCAAAGCAGTTTGTCCAAATGATAGGGAGAGCTGTCTAAGAGCGAGTGAGTGGAATATATTAAGAAAAAAATATGGGCAATGTCAGTCGATCAACTAACTAGCCTTCTAGTAACCTGTGAGGGTCCAAATTCAGAGAGTTGATCAACTTGTCCACTCAGAAATTCTACATTGGAGTGGAAAAAAAAATTGCATCCTTGAAATGTACAAATGAACTGGAAAGCCAATAATGAGAGAAATTATTGGTAAAGGTGTCACCTTCCACAGGTGTACCAGCAGCAACTTTAACCGGATGCTCAATTCTTCTTGTCCTTGATTTCTGACTGGGGTCTTATTTGGATCGGGTGCCTTCCTGAATATTTATGCACTTTTTTTTTAATTTACTTTTCAGCTTGGTTCTCATTTTCTCCCTATTTGCATCCAGAAAGTTCAGCACATGCAAGAATAGGATTTCCCCCACTTAATAAGCATACTAAAGCTATTATCATAGGTGTCCAATATCTGTTTTTCTACCAACTCGATCCTAGTGCAGGAACCTAATCTAGACCTGCGTCTGTGCCTTTCCCCTGGAAAATTGAAATGGAAAAAAAAAAAAAGCCACTGTTCCCAGAGTTTGATGTCAGTGGGTATGGGAAGGCTGATTCTACTGCCCAATGCTAATGTTGTGTTTGCAAACCTGTTAAAAGTCACAAGGGCATCATTTGGTTCGTTGCCACAGTCCAGGGTGAAATTTAGCTCTCGATATTGGGAATATGCAATAAGAGTCATGGAGTCATGGGACAATAAAGCATCCATTTGGCTGGCTGGAGCTCAAAGTCAATTACCTAGTGGAGGCATGCAGTCTGCTGATATGATATACCAGCCCTCTAACCCAAGGACTCTCTGTATTCGTTTTGTCTCTGTGTGTTTCACCTCTTTGTCTGCTTGAGTTTTTCTCCCTTGCTCACACACACACATCTCTTCCTCCTTTCCTTTATTTCCCCTGTGACTTCTGCCCCCCCCTTCTCCCTTGTTCATCACTCTTTTTCCAATTTCTCTCCTATGCCTCAATATCCGTTATTCCCGTTGCCACCCCTCGGCAGCGGTGAGTGCCCTGTCATTGTCGCTGCGGCGTCAGAAGCGCGACTCGCTGTCACCGCTGGAGGAGGACGACGTACGCGAGAACATCATAACGTATGACGACGAGGGCGGAGGCGAGGCCGACACAGCTGCCTTCGACATTGCCGCCCTGCAGAGTGCCCCGCACAGCTCGCGCTCACGCGGCTATCGCACGCTGGACAGCAGGAACGTGTAAGCAGGCGGAGGGGTGTGTGGGAGGGTTTGTTTGCATGTGGTGATGCATATATATATAAATGGGTCTGTTTTTAATTTAATCAAACCATCACAGCGGACCTTTCATTACATGCTGAAAAGAAAATATTATTTACGCCTTCAGAGTGAAACCATTCGTCGCAGTCCAGCTCTTAACTGATCCACTTAAGTAACTGTTTAAGCCACAACTCCCAGGTCATAATCAGCCACCAATCAAAACACTCAAACAGAAGGCTATCAAGCCTGGCAGTCCTAGGAGGCCACTTTGTTGTGCTCATTTTGCTAAAACTCATTTATGTTCTGCTACATCAGAGAGTTGTTTGCACCCACTTTGATGTTCCTGTGAAACATTGTTATTGCCTTTGGACTAATAATTAGCTCCCGGATTCATGCAAGCCATATGGAGAGGCCATAAACAAGTACAAAGGCTGCTTTTAGTTGATCGAAAATTGCTTCTCACAGTTCTTGGAGGTGGACACAGCAACATGAAAAACTGTCTAAATCTAATGCAATCCAGTGCAATATTCCTGCAATATTAACTACCTCTGTGAGACTTTTAATTTCTAATTTCTGTTGGCGCCATGTAACAAAGGAGCGCATAGTTGAGTCGAGCGCTGCTGTAGCTTGTTCTTCTTGGAGTGAACTGTAAGATTTGGAGCGTTCATTATGAAAGAAACGTTGTATTAAAACAGAGGTTATTTTGGCTGTAGCTGCACTGGATCACTTTTTTTTTTCTTTTGAAATTCCATCCATGGAATCACAAGTTTTCAGTCCAAACAAAATCACACAGTACACCCTTCATATTTCTCACCTGGTTATTTTTTCCCACCCCAAGGTGGACAAATGTCTCAGCAGAATATCTTGCAGTGTGAATATAGAGTGCAACACAAAACCACAAGTCGTGGTTTAAAAGAAAAAACTGTTTAAAAAATGACCAAAGATATTTCCTGAGCAGCAAGCAGTATTCAAAAACAGGCATAACATGTTCAGATTTAGCCCAATCATATGCCCTTTTTTTGTCTTGCAGTCGTTACTCACATCGTGCTCAAGACAAATCTCGCACTTATAGCTGGGCTCAGAATCCAGGTGTGGATCACAACTACTCAGGACCAGCAGGACCCCTTTACGGTCGTCTCTGCTACAGCAGTCACACGTTACCCATTCTCCGTCGCGCCCCAGGAGGAACGTTCGAGCCAGGCTTGGCGGAGCTGGCGTACCGCTTTCCTGGAGGCCAGCCAGACCATTCCCTGGTTATCCAGAACCAAGGGGCCGTGGTCGGGCCGATGGAGTCTGGGGCGGTGTACATAGCTCCAACGGATCTCAGCACAGGAAGTCGAACGGGGAGTCGGACGGAAAGCCGCGACGGGACCGCACCCCAGAGCGGGGTGAGCACGTCCGATGGAGGGACACCGAGAACCAGCGACAGCCACGACAGAGGAGGAGGAACAGGAACCGCAAGCAACTGTACAGAAGGGAGCAGTGAGGACAAAGTTAACCTCAGTCAAAATGTGGACTGGGTAAGGATGACAGTGAGCTTCACACTAAACGCATGCTAAACACACATGAGCTTAAATAAATGTGCAAGAGAAACGGAGAGACGATGAAGGACACTAGGGTCTCAAACATAATGCCACTATTTAGCAGTGATGCCCAGAGAACCCAAGATTCCTGTTTGGTAGAATTTTGATGTCCTTACATCTACATCATTCAAACGCACACTTGCATATTTGTGTTGAATGCAGCACAGGAACTCATTCTGCAACACAGCTTAAAACATAGATTGATGGGGGAATAAATATTTCAATAAGATGTAAAAAGCGGTAGCCGTTGCCGTGAATCGTTAATTATAACTGAATAAATTAGTCAATTAGCAGTAGATGGCCACATTGAAGACATCATTAAAGCTGAATCAATGACTTAATTATTCAATTAAATACGCATACGAAAACGTGAGAAAGTCATTAAGCAAATATAAAATCATTATAAGGTTTTGAAATCAAACTAATATACTGAACTACTGCAGTGATTAAAGCACTGCCACACTTTTAGTCTCTGCACAGTCACAGAAATGTCCTGGACGTTGTTGGGGGATGATGACAATAAAGACATTATCAGCACATCATATCCTGCTTTATTCTTACTTTTTGTTCTTATGCTTTCATTTATTAGGGCCATGGCACGGCTCCTTGGCCCTAGCTTTATTTAATTTTCAAATATTTTATCTCTCTATCTCTTCCCTTTCCATCTCCCTATCACAGTGCAGTGTTAGCTCATTCTAGTGATCAATTAATGTCTATGTCTTCTTCCAACTCTGCTTTCCCTCCGCTCTCCTCTGCTCACTGTCTGTCTGTCTGTCTCTCCTTCACGTGAATCACTTTTTATCATCATCATCATCTCCTGTTTTTTTCCTTCACGTGGGCAATATGTCATCACTTTTCCTTATCTTTCTACGTTTAATATACCTGTTATTAAATTTCCCCTTCCTCCTTGGGCAAATTGTCTCATCCCATTTTATGTTACTGTAACCAAACCTAACACCCAACCCCAGCCCCGAACTGAAACCACTCGTGCTCGCCTACATTCCCTCCAGGTGCAGTCGGAGACATTGCCCAGGGAGCACAACCTTGTCATGACCCGATCCGGCTCCCTGATTGGTCAGGGTCACGGCGTAGGAGGCTGGGTGTGTGACTCGGCTACCCTCCCCATGGCAGGACGCAGGGCCTCTCGTACCGGCATGTCCCCCAAACGCACATGTGGCAGTCTGGCTGAATCTGACTCTGGTGGAGGAGGAGGAGGAGGAGGAGGGGGGGGGAGTGGAGGAGGAGGTGGAGGTGGAAATGGAAATGGGACCACCTCCACTGATGGACAACAACAACCACCTGCCAGTGGACGCAACTATGCCACTGTCCTGCAGGGGGAAGTATCTGGGCAGAGGGACTACGCTGGCACTCTGGGGAGAGGAGGACTGGAGATGGGAAGCAACTTTGTGGTGGCAAGGCCAGACAGAGAAAGTGGAGGAGTATCACTGACCGGGACTCCATCTGTCTACCCAGAAGCACCTGGCTTTATTGGGGACTGGCGCGATCGAGTAGGTATGGGAGGGTATGTTTTGGGCAGGAGGGATATGACCCCTCAGCTTTTGCCCTTCCCCGGGCAGCCTCGGGCAACATATGGCAGTGTGATGGGCTTTGGGGCCAACTGGGTTCCAGGAATGGAGGCAGCCAGAGGGGGACCAGGGCACGGGGGTCCCTCCTTGGCACTGCGAGTGGGTGAGTTCCTACGTCTGCGCCTTGCCCAGGTCACCTTTGATCCCTCACAGCCGCCATACGACTCTGTGCAGGTGTATGGGCTGGAGGGAACAGGGTCCAGGGCTGGATCCCTCAGCTCACTGGAGAGCGAAGGGGAGAAGGATTCAGAGAAGGAGGATTGGGGGGCAGGGCTGGAAGAGTGGGGTCCCCAATTCCAGAAATTAGCCCAGCTCTTCAAAGACAGGGAGAAAGAGAGGGAAGATAAGGAAAAGGTTGACGAGGGTGCCAAAAAAGAGAAAGAAATGAATGAGGAGCCTGAGAAGAAAGTGAAAAAAGATGGAGTGCGGGCTGGAGAAGAGGGGAAAGATTGAGGAAGGATATAAATGAAACAAATAGGGGCAAAAGGGGGTAAGAGAGAGGGGAGGAAAAGAAGGATGATGAAAAGGCAACTTGAGTTCGAATAATGTGAAGAGAAGTTAAAGGGGAGAAAGATGAAGAGGCAAAGTAATAAAAAGAGACAGAGAAAAATGAGCCTAGGGAGGATGGAGAATGCGAGGGCAGGGGAGGGAGTGATTGATGTAATTTATAGCAATAAGTGTTGAAACGCTGATATGGTTGAGCACAGATACTGAGACAATGCAGAGCCTGCTTCTGCTCGGGGCAGCAACAATTTGTTAAACGCTTTGGACAGAGAAAAACAACTCAAACATCCAAGACTCGATTAAATTCAGCTCTCACGTATGGAATGAGAAACAGCAGGAGGCGAGAAGGAAGACGTCTGGTGCGCCGATCTGATCCCAGTGTCTGCGTGTTTGTGTGCGAGAAAAGTCAGTGAAAAGTGCGTGAGAACACGTGCGCAACCGAGCGCGTGCCGTACGCGTGCATATTTAACAGAGATGGAGCAAAAGAGAGTGGCAGGGGGAAATCGAAATACCCAGAGACAATTTTTGAGATGAGACTGATGACTAATGCTGCGTAATGCCGCAACATTAGCTTTCAGGACGACGAGGCAGGGAAAAACACTTAACAACGAAGTTTAGAAAGTAGGATAAGACACAGGGGAGGGGGAGAAAGTGATGTTTGACTATAAAGGGAATGGGCGGCAAGGATGTATAGAGAGAGAAATGGTCTTGGAAGTGAGATGATTGTACAGAAACTGTTGCTTTTTATTCCATCTGCAGTGGCAGAAAAAGTGAATTATTCAGCTTGCTACTCCATTCCAAATGAAAATGATGAATCATTTAAATCCTGCAAAAGATTCTTCCTCCTCTCAGCCCACGAGGAAAAACAGACATTGTGAAAAATTTTAATGGTTTAGGGATATGATCCCCCCCCCCCTCCCCCGAACCCTCTCAGTTCTTCGCCCCCCCCTCCCATCCCCCCCAGCTATTTTGTAGTTGAGTGTTGGTATGTTTACAAAGATTCACACACAAACACGCGGCGACACAAAAGAACTGATTAACACCACAAGGCTTTGATTGTACTACAGTAAATTACATAATCCATGAGTATTCTGAGGACTCTGTTATTGATGGCATAAATGTGTCTTTTTTATGAAAGAAGTCTGCTTTTTTCTAATTTGCCCACCCCACTTCCCCAGTCTCACATGCATGATTTTACAACAACAACAATAAAAAAAACCCCACAAAATCAGTTTCCACTCCAAACGCTTGTACGGCCCAATGGAACATTTCCACAGATCTCTAATGAAATTGTAGTGAAACACAACCACAGAGACAGGCTTTTTCGTTTTCATTTTATTTCTTGTTAAAAGGTCAGGATGCAAATGTGCTGGAGATTTCAGCTGGAATGCACTTTTATACTGTGTGATGTTCAATAATAGATAACGAATCATGTCGAAAATTACAGTTCTTTTATAAGATGTCAGCTAAACGAAGATATCATGTTTGACTGTATGTAAAAAAAAAACATTTGTAAATACCACTAAGTATTACTGCTAAAAGAGAGTATATAAAATTTAAAATGTGTAAAAAAAAATAAAATAAAAAATGTCTAGAACAGAACTTAGATGTTGAAAATGGAGCACTGTTGGGATTACCTGTATGTACTGTAGATTAGAAATGGATTAACTGCGCTGGACTGCCTCCTGGACTCAAAACAACACCATGTATTCAACATCTGTGTTTGGGTTTGCTGTGTGCTAGCTCTTTGTCTGAGATGGACAAGCCAAGGATTCAATTATACATGTGGCCTCTGGCAGAAGTTTGTTGTGCAAAATATTAGTTACAGGAAGCCTGTGAGCTAACCTGTTCCAGTGAAGATCCATTTGATGAAAATCCAGTGAAGTGAGGAGAAATCCCCCTAATGGGTATACAAAACAAAATAAAAAAAAGTCAGTGTTCCCTAAAATCTGAATTAATAGCCTGCAAAAGTGGAATAATCTAGAATTTATAATAAATTTTACACTGCCTGAGAGATGTGGAGGTTTTATAGATAGTTGCTTCTCTTGAAAAATATGACAAACACTACATTAAGGAAAAGTGTCTTGTGTGCATTTCAGGCAATGCAATTCAAATGCCAAATTACTGATGCATTATGGTCTACATAAGCAAATTTTCTTGCGTGAAAGAACAACTTAGCTCTATAATGTATTTATTGCTACGGTGGCCCTGAGAGGTCAGATGTGCTGCAACTTAAGGAAACACCAGCAAGTAGAAAAACTCTACAAAAATTCACAAATGACAAGAAAAGTAAAAAAAAAACAAAAAAAACCCCCAGAAAAAAACAAGTGTTTTTGGGGCGACAGCAACGTAACGAAACAGCTGCTGATGAAGTAAGACACGTTTAAAAGAAGCAGAAGATTCACATAATACCGTAGATTCAGGTTTGCTAGTAGCCGTTTACTGTTAGCTTGTCACATTAGCTGTTCTGTCATGACATTGTCTCCCCAAAAACACTGACATTGTCTTTTGTGAGTTACGTCTTTTTATTTTGGAGGTTTTTTTAATTTCTTAACCTTTCATAATGTTTTTTAAATTTCTGTTTTATTCACTTCCATTCTGTTTTGTGTGCTTTTGTGTCATTTTTCTATCTGCTTGTGTTTCCTCAAGTTGCAGTGCGTTTGGGCTTTCAGGGCCACCATAGACTAAGCCTAAAAGTTACTTTAGTCCAGAGAGGAATATAGCCACAACTTGAATGTATGGACGTCTTTGGCGCACCATCACAGAAGTGTCATTGTTTCATTCTTTGTAAAGTCACACCAGGCTGCCAGCTTCGCTAGTGTCCGCCAGTTTGGTCCACCATAATCTTGTTGTCAAGGTCTTCTGCAGCATTTTGTTAACCGGTCGAGAAGCCGGTGACATGAAACAAAATCCATATGTGTCTCTCTACCCTTTACCCGAGCCACAGACTTTTCCATACAGTGCCACTGTGCAGACTGGACAGTGTGGGGACCAATATACTGCACAATGACCAGAGAAGACAGGGAGGGGGGTGCAGAACCTCAGGGAGAGCTGATTTGGGATTCATTTGGATGATGAACTGTACCTCCAAAAACTTTCACCTGCTATTTTAGCAAAACATATTTGGACTTTTAGACACTCAGAGGACTGAGTTGTGTTTTTTACAACATGTCTTCATTTCTGCTATATCATCAGTAATATCTGTTCTTCAGGTAGTAAGTTAGTTTCAAAGACCTAGGAGGTGGAAAGTTTTTGCTAAAAACACTGAACCTTGCCAGTTTCTTCAGTCATTCACGTCATTTATATTAATTAAGAGTTAATGCATCTGAGAAGCTCTCAAGAGGGCCTCTTGACAAACATGTTGCATCAAAATAACACAGAGAGGCTTCTCTAGTAATTTGAACTTAAACGTAAAGAAGGCTCACTGTTCTGTTTGTATTTTGAAAGATCAATGTGGGTGAAAGAACTTCGCTTTGTTTATCGTATCCTAGCGAGCCGTGTGAACGAAGCACTAATGTTCTTCTGACTCATTCTTGGAGGTGACTAAGCAGCTTCAAGTGCATTACAGTCCTCTGTAAGGTGCAGTAGGATGGATCTGATTTGCATTTAGCCAATGAATACAAAAACACACATTCCGTTTATACCCAAAACACCGACTTTAAGTAATTTGATTACATGTATTCCTTCCAGTGTAATTTGATTACATAAGGAGGAGGGAGTATAATGTAAAATGTTAAATTTAATCAAGTCTAGTCAGATGAAATCTGCCTGATTGGCATATATTCAGTTTATACTAAGCATATCTTCCTTAATAATTAATTATCTGAATAAGGAAATACATATTCGATTTTATATATTTCAGTTGCATTTTACTCAAAATGATTGCTTCTTTTATGAGGTCGAATCTTTTTGGGTGTAGAAGTGGAAATGAGAACTGATTCAATCAAAAGCACGCATTCCTTTCCGATTTGCCTTCAACTAATCTTCCTAACCTGCTGGTTTTGACTTCGTTGCATGTTAGGTGAGCACAGTGAGCTGAAATAATGGTCAAAATTACAGTTACAATTTACAACAGCCATTTCTAAAACAAACAAAACCAGAGATATCCTTTATTTATCATTCGGGCGGAATAAAAAGTCTTGAATGATTATTTCTCCGGTGCACCTAAAATGACTTGAACCAGTTTAGGAATGAGAATTACTAAATTATATGCGCTGTGTTCTCCCTAGCATTTATCTCTAATGTGCAAACTTTCTGAGCCGCTTTTCCCCAGAACACATGTATTAACAGTCGCCATATTTTCAGAGCAGTATCGTTTTAGGCAGACATTTTATAAGCAATTAGCATGCTATACCAATAAGTGACCCTGTGCACCGTTCTAATTATATGGTCTATTCCTCTGTCTTGATTGGCTCCAGGTGTCTCATCTCTGCTGATTCAAAGCTTTGCTTTGGCTGATTGGTCAAAATCAAAGTGATGATTCTCCTGATTTGTCTTATTTCAGAGTTCTGGAGTGCTGTGCCGACTAAACCACTTGACAGAGCTGATTATCCCACCTCCTGAGCCCGGCAAATTGGTTCAATCAAAAGCGTGATTAGTTGAATCAGTTGTTTTAAATAGAATAAAAGCCTGAAGTCTCCACAGCACTGCGTGGCTCTTTTTTTCACTCTTTTAGCCAGCTTAGGTGCACCAACAGAGGAAAGCGGTCCATTTATCACATCTTCCCCTGAATGAGCCTCGATACTTAGGACAGTGAAGCTCCACTTAAAGGACGGGCACAGATACCTTAGTATCTAGTTAATGTATGTAGCTCAAAGATGCAGAGTAAAGGTCATGACCTCTGGCCTCTGACTCTAAACAGATCGACCCTCACTGGTTCTGCACCCACCTTCCCCCCGTGACTTCATTGCTCCTGCACGATGTTGATACAATTCCACAATTGCGTGCTGAACAAAGTGTATTTATTTCTGTTGTACTTTTTCTTTTTGTAAATTTGAATAAAAAAGGAACTATTTCAAACAGATGAGTCAGACCTGCTCTGTGCTCCTTTCTGCATTTTCCAGAATTTCAGGATAATCAGACTTCTGTTGATGGGTGTGCTTTCTGTTTGTGTGTGTGTGTGGTGTTTGTATATGTGTGTGTGTGTGTGTGCGTAAAAGTGTGTCTAAGGGAGAACGAGACAGAAGGAGAGAGCTATTGAGAGACGAGCTGTGCAGTGCATACAAATGTGTGCACACCTTGTGAGCATGTGTCTTGTTGTGAGTAGGTGGGTGTGCCTTGTCAAATTGGCCCCTTGAAATTTCCAAACCACAGACAATGTGTGTGCGTGTGTGTTTTTTTTTCTGGGGATACGTGTGCGTCTGACTGCAGGATGAAGGAACACCTTGTCTGGTTTGATCCACCCCGATGGGGGGATGTGAGGTCAGTAATAGAGGACAGACGGAGAGTTCTGCAGAGTAATCACACTATCAGACAGAGGGGGAGAGTTCTCTGTTTGTTGGTGAAAGGAAAGAGAGAGAAAAAAGCGCATTTTGAACTCAGGAGCTGTAGCAAATAGAGCAGACCTGACAGCTGCGACCAAATAATGCGGGCCCCTTAGCCAACCTTTGCAGCTCTTCTGAATTCTGCGTTTGTCCTGCTGAATGATGGATCGGGGAGATGTGCGCCATTGCCGTGTGACTGAATTGCTGGTTAAAAAGATTTATTACAATAATCAAATATGAAGGAGGGGATTATTTCTACATGATGGTTTAGAGAATGATCGTGTTAGCCGGGTCCTCGCTTGATTACAATGATAATACCCGCCTCAAGTCAGGAAAGGGAGAGAAGCAGAGGGAGAGAGAAGGGATGGAGCGAACCATATTAACGGTTAATATGCAAGTCTGTTGCATTACATAAAATTGCATTTATGATTGGGTTAGAGATTATTCCGCTGCCTGCTAAAGAAAAAGTCCTTGCCTTCCTTCCCATAATTATGAGACTCACAAGGCTGACTCGCTCCCTGCGGAAGCAGCACCCTGTATCTAAAGAGGATGTGAAATCAGTTGGAGGCAAAACAGAGCTTTGACTCGCTTTAACCCCCCTCCACAAAACTGATAAAACACATCAACATGTAACTAACACAGCACCCTTATCGATTTACAAGTCCTATATAAATATATATCAGTCTCCCTCCAGCATCAACACCGCAATGCAGTATTCTAGGTGAGATGCACTGTCATTGCACTGTCAATAATTACAGCATGCATAATTGATCGTGGCATAATAGCAGAGCTGGAGATAAAATGGACCCTGTTAAAGGCATACACCTGGGAACCACTTAGCACTGTATGTGCTGGAGTGGTGCAAACTCAAAGTGCTGCATGATTGCGTCACAAAACTCACAAGTTAGTGTGTGCTGGTGTGTGTAGTCAAGTACATTGAGATTCCTCATTCTGTTTGAACCTTACTGACACTCACAATCCCTCTGGCTATTCAGCACAGTGTGCACGCTTGTGTGTGTGTATGTGTGCACGCGCTTCTGCACTTGTGCATCTTTGCATTTCAAGTGTGCTTTAAAAGGCAGCATCCAGAGTGCAAGAGACTGCAGAGTCTTTCGACAAGGCAGTGCAACTTTTTGGACTCGACAACACATTACCCTGCAGTTAAATGTCTAACAAGTAGCTTTTAACTCCACCTGTCCCTCCGTTTTTCTTTTTTTATGAGTGCGTGCGCGCGTTTCTTTTTCCCCTCCTGCTCTCGTTGCTCATCCGTTCTGCTCGGAACGCTCACAGAGTTCAGTGGCTCATTTGAAGTGGAAAATTAAATCTTCATTAACAATCTTAATTAGAGTTCGATCTCCCCATAGTGAGGCGACAGAGAATCTATAGTGCAACGCGGGAAAGACCTGGAGCTAGAGTTGGTTTCAGTAAAGCAGTGGCGGTGGGGAGGATTGAGGGGTGCTTTTGTGGGGGGTAATTAGTGAATGGGAACTTCAGGGTAAATTACGCGAGAGGTATTTACACTTTACAGGAGGGGTGGATGGATAATTAAAGTGACCTGCTGGTTGATGGTGGACAGTGCGATGATAGTCCCAGATGTGTGCTGTGGTAAAGGTGCAGTTCTTGATTCTGCAAAGCTGGTGAACTAGCGCTCAATAGCACTCGGAGGCTTGGAGGCAGAGGGGTATAGGGAGGGCACTGTTAGTCAGAAATCTTCAATTGAATTGTGTCTTGTCTTGTTTTTTGGTGACATGCTGTAACTTGAGGTGGCATAATCCCTTATCATGCTTCCATAAGCAGGAGAGCATTTCCCTAATACCAGACAGTAATCATTCAAAGACACTGCTAAGCACGCAGTCTCTCTTATCCACATTTACATACTATAGCACCCTATTCAGGGGCTGCGTGTCGCGGATTGGTTAGTAAATGAAACAATAATGTCGGAGCGCAATTAAAACAAGCATTATGTTCCTAAAATGAAAGCGGGGAAGTTGCCTTTCTTGTTAAGCGCTTCCTTTTAACTTTGTTGGTAATTGTTGTGTTTTTGGGGGAGGGGGATTGTGCTGTAGTTCTGTTGTAGTTAGCCACATCCTATCTGAAACCATCAAAATCACCTGTGCAGCCCCCCTTTCTGCGAGCAATGAGCTGAGGAAGAGAGATTTTGCCTGAGGGAAAGCAGACGAGCTGGACTTGCCCAGGATCTAATCCTGTGACAGGAAGTCCACAGCAAAGGAGCACAGCCACACATAGCCCGAGTGAGACTGTATATGTCCCTGTGGGGTAGATCATTTGTCTAGTTGTCCAGGCGCTTCTTTATTTGCAGAGGACATACAGATACACACGACCACAGAATATTTCTAAATGGTGAGGACAGCAGATAGTGTCTGGACCTTGGTTTTATTTATCTGCTCCGCACAGTTTCCTGGGAGCTGTGCTGGTTGACTGCTCCAAGCAGGGGTGATCATATCTGCAGTAATGTTGTCACGGTGGCTGAAGATTCAGGAGAGGAATCTGTGGATGGGTGTGTGTGTGTGTGTGTGTGTGTGTGCCTGTGTTATGGGAGGTGACAGACTCTGTTTACGCAGCTGATCATTAGCAAAAAGAAAAAATGGAGAACAAGATAACCAATTACAGACACACAAACACAGAGACGGAGAGAGAGAGAGAGAGAGTTAAGTACGTTCATTAGCCCTTTGTGTCAGATTGGTTAATTGTTCAATGAAGTGAGCAGAATAATAAGTTGAGGGGGTGGATGTTATGCCTTTGGTGAAATGTTCACGGGGATTTATTCTCATCAGCTGTGCCTTTTATTGTCCTACATAGATCATGGAGCAAGTCTAAGAGCTGAAGGCTGCACAAACGGCAGATCCAGTGTTAGGCCACTGCCCGCTCGCTAAATACCAACAGACTCTCAAGCGGTGTGTGTGGCCATTAATAAATCCCTTGTCGTCTGAGAGAATTTTTGCGAGGCAGCACTGGACCTCGGCTAAATAAACACATCTGCCCATCTAAGTACACACAGTACACAAGTTGCACAGTCAATTGATATATATGTAGTGCGGGGTACAGTCCAGACATCACATCTTTAGCAAGCGACCGAGTGACTTAGAAAAAATTCAGCTTTCTTCCCCATATTACTGTCCATATTTCCTGTTTATTTTCTGCCTAAAAATCTACTCCTCCTTTTTATCTGGACTCATTTATGCCCAGATGCTTTAATAATGTAGAGCAGGAAATAAAGCTGCCTGGAGTCAAGCCCTCCCTGCTGCTGGTAAAGTGACACACTGCCTATTACTTCACTTGTTTTACAGCTAATTCTCTATTTCTTCCAAGACCTGCACTTATTTTGGTTTTTGCTGACTTGTCAGTTTTACTTTTCTTCTCGTGGACTGCTGTAGTCAGTGTTTCTGCTCATAGGATTACCTGTTATCAATTACATTACGATATACAGTACGATGCAGTAATATAATATTTTAAATATTTACAAGGAATTGTGCAGGTTTTTAAAAAAAAATAGAGTGATCAAGTAAAACCCGCTTCCTAAGTGAAAGATTTATTTTAATCACGTGCTTCACTAATCCTTAAGATTCAGTTTCCTTTCAATTAACCATCAAGCTGCTTTACACTTGCTAAAATCGTTTTCCTTTACTCTGATTTATGCTGCTACATATTGTGCATCAGCTCTTCCAGTTCGTGACTGAAGCCATACGACTGAGCTACTTACTCCCCGGCTTGCGTGATGTTTATGCTCGCTGAAGTCGCTAGAAGTCTTTCAGAATGAACTTTACTGTAACTGATCACACAACAATTGTCTGCGGGATTGAAAAGGTCCAAGGGGGCCAAACAAACCCTGCTCACACATAAGAAATCAGAATATGAATGATCAAAACATGACACTGTGAATCATCAGCAAAACAACAAGCATAAGGTCAGACAGGCTACATTCATGAAACATCTCTAATCTACCATGTTGTATAAATGTAGAGGATGACGCTGGAACAACCACAGAGTCTGACTGAGACCAAAAACATCTCAAACCAGTCTGACACAAACATGCTCAGCCAGCTCTGTGAGGTACAGCATGCGTGCTTTGGTTTGTGTCTGCTGCCACCTGCTGGAATAACGAGCATTGCTTTTATTCATTCTGGTCTTTTCTGATGCATATTCCACAATCCACAGAGGGAACACCCTTCACAGATCATCTGCTCATTACAGGGCCAACTCACTTCTGCAGACTATCATTCATATTCACACTTGCAGTCGATTAAAATTCTGCACTCTTCCTGACCAGCTTGTCCTTGGAATTTGAGAAAAAAAAAAAAGAGAGAGAAAAATCTCACACAAACCTCGAAGTGTAAAAGCTTACAGGAGGAATGAGACCTTCGTGTTGGGAGATTAACGCAGCAGGAGTTTTAGGCTCCAGAATGTCTTTGCCATACCGATATACTAAATTAAAATTTGAGTGAATATCTATTTAAATGACTTATTGCATTAATCAAATCAAATGCGAGGGCAGGGATTATAGCTGCGAGATCATTT